TCGAGTCTCTTTGCTGCGATGACTTTGTGTTTTTGACTGATGAATGCTAATCTTAAAGTGAAAACACTCAGATAAAATCATTTATTTTCCTCACACTTACACACTTTCTACGACAGGGGGAGCTGTGTAACACAAAATTAAGCTGGGACCTTGAAACAGTGTTTTCTTCTTAGACAGACCATCACAGAATACTGACACTCACCCAAAGGATGTCCTTGTCACTCTCCTCAGATGTACCATCTTAGGTGTCACTTACCTTTTTGGGCTAAAAGAGAAAATCAGGTGCTGACACAGGCCCTCACTGGGAGACCCCATGTGATCTCGGAGCCTGGAAACATTTTCACCTGCAACCCAATCCCAAACAGGGCTGCGCTCTGTGGGATTGGATGCGTCACCTTATCCCCCACTTTGTGTCCCATTACCCAGCAGTTGTAATGCTCACACCAGTGTAACGTGTCTAAGGTAGCAGGCGGGGCAAGCTGAGCTGGTCTGAAATTTAAATTAACCTCAGCGACATTCATGTGTGCTGGGGAACACAGGTGTTACATTACCAGTACCCTAACTCCTGCCATGCACACACACCTGTTGTACATAAAGGTGAACAAAAGAATGTGTGCACTCACATACATTAGCTGTAAGAAATACAGAGTCGCACATGCCTGTCGCTAGTTTTATGTTTATCTCTTCTAGTGGTGAGCCTCCTTTAACAGTGGCTGGTTTCAAAGCCACTGTGAGAGTCGGTTATCAGAGGATAGAGGGAAGAAGGGAGCTGTGAGTGTGTGAGTGTGTGTGTGTGTGGTTAAAAGCAGGATGTAGCTGATCTGCTGACCCACATGTTGCCAGATAAGGATCAGAGTGGCAGAAGACAAATACCACACTCACTGGTGAGAGGATACACTGTGTGTGTGTGTGTGTGTGTGTGTGTGTGTGTGTGTGTGTGCATTTTTCCATATTAGCTTTGTGCTATGTGACCTGAATTAATGTTTCCATCAAATCTAATTTGCAGAATTCATAGCTGATTATGTTTCTGAAAAACAAATATTTCTGAAGAACTGTTCTTCCTCAGTCGTTCTCTGTAGACGTTTGTAACTTAAAGGATCAATCTGCAGATATTCTGGATTTTTCTTAGTGTCAAAATATCCCTTTTGCAGAGCTAAACCACCTACAAACAAAGTATTGTGAGTGTCGAAGCCTGGTTCTTCCTCTGTACTAAGGAGCTCCGTTACCATGAACACACACACTTTATTTTGAGTCAATCAAACATACACCGTCCTGCTGCCCCAAAACCCCCCCAGAGCACCAAATGTGGATTAATCCGCTGTAACATCCCGCTTAAATACTGGAAAATGGCTCTGGACAGCAATAGCATCTACCGTTACCGTTGCCGGTACTCTCTGCCGGCCTCACCCCTGCTCTCATCCACTTAGCTCCTCCCAGCGAGGAGGTGAGAGAGTTTTTAATATGGTCAGTTAGGTTTTCAGTCACGCCCACTTCCGCGTATGATACACCGATGTTTCCTCGCTCTCGCCCCTCTTCAGGTGCATTAAAGGAATTGGAAGATCCTCCATGATGGCGAGGGGGAATGATTTCCAGGTCACAGAAGGAGAGAGGGACGCGAGGAAGCATAACGTCGACAGATTGCCTGAAACCAAGTGAATGCAGCAAAAAGTCGCCAAATCTGCATCACTGCCTCATACCGAAGACGTTCTTTGGACCTCCATGTTGACGGGCGAACAGTAAACGCTCATTAGAGCTCTTTACTGACTGGAGTCTCAGGCTATTTCTGCATACGTGTGATTCCCACGTCAGACTGGAGCACTGCACGTAACGCTGTAGTTTTCGGGCTGCGCAGGTGAACAGAACACGATTGGCCACACAAGCACTGGAGAGCTAATCTGTTTTCCGGCGGAGGAGAAGCCCGTCACTCACCCCAACACGACCTTCTGCCAGAACCGTGCTCTCATTGGTTGGTCCCACATGACAACAGGTGATGACACAGGTCTGTTGACGCCCAATCAGTGAGCGAGCTGAACCCGTTCACCTCCGGCTCTATTGTCCCACTGAACCATCGCTTTGTTTACATGTTGACCTCTAACCTCTCTGCTCCTTCCTTCCCTCCTCCTCTTCATCGCTTCCTCTTTTGTCTACCCCCCCGCTCGTCTTTCTCCTCCTTAAGCCTTTCTGCAGACTTTCCTCCTCCTTCTCTCCTCCTCCTTGACGCCTCCGCCCTCGCACCTCCTCTCCTGCATCTGTGGACGAGTTTCCTGCCACAGGAAACAGCCTGATGGTGGAGGTCAGAGACAGGATGTCCTGCAGAGAGGAGAGGAGGGGAGGGGAGAGGAGGGGAGGGGAGAGGAGAGGAGAGGAGAGGAGGGGAGAGGAGAGGAGAGGAGAGGAGAGGAGAGGAGAGGAGGAGATGAAATAAGGTGAGGAT